TATTAATAGTTATATTTTAATAATCAGCATCAATAGCACATCAAATTTATCCTAAAATGAATTGTTTAAAATCTTTGCCAGAAAATATTAGATAATTTGGGACTCTTAACTCTAGGTAAAAAAAAGGGACTCCTGGACTCCAGAATTCAACTTTTTACCCCTGATATATATATATATATATATATATATATATATATATATATATATATATATATATATATATATATATATATATATATATATATATATATATATATATATATATATATATATATATATATATATACACACACAATAATATATAATTTATATAAAATAATATTTGAGTTTTTGTTTCAAAGGTTGATTGAGTCTGATTCAGACGCTAACAAAGAGACACTTAAAGTACATATTGACAATTTATATAGAGTTGTACAATATTGTGAAAATAAAATTGATTGTCGGAGAGCACAACAGATTCAATACTTTGGTGAAAGAGATTTTGATTCATCACAATGTAAACAAAATACAAGCACTACTTGTGATAATTGCTCTAATAACACTCAGGTATGTTTATTTTGTAGACTGCAACTTGAACTTTTTATATGAGTTACTTTTTTGTGAACAAATCATCAGGTTAAAGTTCATTATTTTGACCACAGAGCAGAGAGGGAAGCAACATTTTTATTTTTTAATTTCATATAGTTATTGTTTAAATAAAAAAAATTTGATAATTTTAACCTTTTTTAGTGTGTAGTACCACATTAAAATGCTCAAGAAGTTGTTGTATTATTTTCAACTTTAGTAACTTTCTTTTGTTCTTTGAACTTTTTCTTCCCACTTTCCATCAGCATTTCTATATAAATTATAGTTATAATTTCATATCTGAAATACACATTGAGTACATATAGTTTAATGTCATTAAGGTTGAATGCCATAGTTTTATTTTCCTGCTGCAGTTATTGCATAAATTGTTTTTCAAAGCTCTTTATTTAGCACAAAAAATAATTAATTTTTTAAAATTACTTGTCAGATTTGTAATTATATTTTAAATGATAAGTAAATTTTAAGTTTAATAATGAAAACTCTTTTCATTATTTTTAAACAACAAAAAAAAAAAAAAAAAAACTAATGAAAAAAAAAAACCTTGCAAAGTACTACCTAAAATTACTAATTAAACCCACCCCCAACAAAAAAAACCCTTGAGCATTTGAAAACAAACTTAAATTTTTTCAACCCTGGAGTTAATACAAATGAGATGTTAAATTTTTCTTTTTAGGTTCAAAAAGAAGACGTCAGTGAAGATGCAAAAATTATTGTTCAAGGAGTTAATAAAATAGCACACAATGGAAATTTTAATTATCGAAAACCTTTAAGAGAACCAGCCAATCAGCTTACTTTAATTCAATATATAGACATTTTTTTGGTAAATGTTTTCTTAAATAAGTTATATTTGTATATTTATATCTTTTTTGTTTAAATGTTGTTTAGATATTAACTTTGTAACATGGCTTATGCTGCAAATAGTAAAGAATAGTGTTATAAAACACAATCATGATGTTTTAAGTTGACAATTTAAGTAAGCATATAAAAAAGCCAAATGATTGAGAAAGCTTTCAAAGTTTAATTAAAAAAAACTTTAGAAAAAGCTTTATTGACTTTTTTTTTTTTACTTAAAAATGTTTCTATTTTTTTTATTGCTTCAGATTTCAAAAGTAATAATAGTTTTAACAAAAAATTAATGACTTAAGTTATTAATTTTTTGTAAATTTTTAATAAAGTCAATATTTTGGAATAAAACTTGATGAATAAAAGAGATAAAATTCTGCTTTTTTTGAGTCCCAGGTTGATATACTTTAAAAAAATATTTAGTATATTCTTCCCAAACTTTATTAATAGTATTTTTTTCATTATTTATTTTAATTGTTAAATAAATATTATTTTTATTTTATTATTTTATTAATTGAATTATATTTATATTATTAATAAAAACTATCATTATTTTTAATATTTTTGGTTATATTGCTGTTCATATTACCGTTTGTTTCCTTATTTCACTTCATTCAATCTAGGAATGGCAAAAATTCTAGAAATTTTCAATCCTGGGATATCAGGATTGAGAAATTTGTCCCCGGAAATCCCGGGATTGGATAGAAAAAAAAGCAAACGCAATTGAATACTTTTTAAGCTCTCATCAAACACTTAAAAATGATTAATTTAATAATAATTTATAAGTATTATAAATTATAAAACAATACCTTAAAATAGTAACACAGTATAAATAAAAATAAAAATTAAAAAATAATATAAATATGTATGACATTAAATTTTTTTTTGATAAATCACACATTTGAAAATCAAAATGAATGGATATAAAACTGGAATTAAAATCGTGCATACTTTTGGAAGCAGAAAATTCAAAATTAAATTAATGATTTTCTATTAAAAACTCATGCTCTTTTTACCAGCAAGCGCTTAAATTTTATTTATTTTTATAATATACAAGTTTTAATATTATACTATATATTATATATATAATAATAAAACTAGTATATTATAAAAAATAACAAAAATATAAGCGCTTGCTTGTGGAAATAGCAAGAGTTTTTAATAAATGCGCTTGCTGGTAAAAAGCAATAGTTTTTCATAGAAAAAATTTAGTTTTGAATTTTCTGCTTCCAAAAATATGCGCGATTTAAAAAAATAAATTTAAAATGTTGTCTTATCTTTAAACACTTATTAGATTTATGTACTCAAGCCCTCACAGATGGCCATTTCAGTATGGCATCATCAATGGTGTTTCATGCTAAGTAAGCAAAGATGTTTGTAAATATATAAATGTTGTATATTTACAAATATCTACATGTACTTATTGTAATAATTGTAAATATATGATTATGAATAATAGTTTAAAATTAAGAAGAAACAGATTTCATTGGTGTATTTGTTATTTTTTGCATTGTTGTATTCACTTAAAGCTATAAAATATTTACTATTTTATTTTAATGTAGGGAAAAGCAAATATCAAAAGTAAGGCATATGAAAATTGCTTATTATATAATAAAGGAGAAAGATATCAGCGCAATGATGCTGAGAGATTATTCCGCAGTCTTGTACTCAATCGCATACTTTCAGAGGAATTAGTTATTGGTATTCATAAGCAAGTGATATCTTATACTAAGTTAGGTCCAAGAGCTATAGAGGTGATCAACGGAAAGTTCAAGGTTTTGTTTTAACTTTTTAAAAACTTTAGTTTAGTTTTTTTTTTTTTTTTAATTTACCGTATTATTGCTTTTTGTTTTTTTTTAAACTTTTTTGCTTAATTTTTTTACTTTTTTTTCTTATCTTTTTTGTGTAAAAAAAAAAGTTTATTTTGATTTGCTGATTTTGACATAAATAATTTTTTACAATTTCGAAATAGTTATTTAAAACTTCAATTAAACAATTTTCAATTAAATTATTTTTAATTTAGTTCTTATAAATATGTTATAAATACTAATCATAAATACTATGACAATCATTGTGACTGGTGAGTCACAATGATTGGTAAATGATGAGTTGCACAAGTATTACTAGTCCTATATTGAGTATAAGTGGTGTCTAATACCAAGTGGCACTGACAGTTCATGAGCTACATGGTTCTTGTTGCTAATGGATAACATGAACTTTTGCGATAAGTTTTAGCAGATGGATTACATGAGCTTTGACTCTAACTTGTTTTTTATTCATTTTTTCTTTATTGAGAACTCTTAAGAACTAACATTTTTTTATTATTACAAGAAATCAATGCAAAAAGGTGCTGTCTGACATCAAGCTTCATTATTACATTATACATTATTACAAGCTATGTGGTCTAATAACCACATTCTTCCTGCCATTCCAGAGAAATAGGTTAATCCATTGTTATATTAATGAAACTTGTTTTCCTGTGTGCTAGAAAATAGCTTCAGTATTTCAAAGTTCCAGATTTCAAAAACTCTGAAGATCCTTTAGACCCTGCTATCTTCCAACCAGTCTTTTTGTTATTAATAGGAAGGCTTTTGACTTTTAATTTAACAACATAATTACTAAACTTCTAATATCTTGACATGCAAAATAATTTAATTACTAAACTTCTAACAACCTACTCTATGACATGCAAAATACTGGTTACAATACTTTTGTTCTGCAGCTGATATGTTAACTGTTATAACATTCTTGTGCATTCTTCATAAGCTTGCTTCATATGGTGTATCTGAAAAACTTATAAAATTAGGAAATAGTTCCTTTCTAAAAGCAGTATTACATTTGTCCTTATAGGTCAACACTTATTTATTTCAAATAATTTTTTAAGTATTATAAGGTATTTCGAACCCATGATTCTATATGTTCTATAATTAATGATCATCCTGACAATCTTACATTTAGAGTTGTCCTATCAATAGGATTTAAAGTAGCCCTATTAATAAGAGTGGCTCTATTAGAGTAGCCATATTTGTTAACCACTAATAATACCTCTCCAACTATAGTCCATAAAAACAATTGCCACTTTTTGATTGTTTATGACAGGCAGTCGATCTTGATCTCTCTTCTGTAACACCTTGAGGCTTGCAGTGGTTTTGTGAGTTTTACCCTTAACAAAACTCAGTTGTTTATAGCTAACGTATTATACAATTATATTTATACAAACAATTATCATAATATTGTTGATATTCCTATAATAAATAAATGACATAGTTTGATGGATCATAGTGGTCCTCATAGTTTCTAAAAATGGGAATAATAAATCTCATAATAATAATCTAGAGATAATATTCCAGAGATGGAGTATTAGACTTTTATTAACGGCCCTATAAAGTATTTCAAAATTTTCTAGAACCTAACCTTTAGATTTAATGACAAGTGGGAAAAGAGTCAGAAACTTTGGTTTCAGATTGAGAGAGCCAGAGTGGATTAAATAAGCCAGAGGCTTTTTTTACCTTAAAAACAAAAGCTTGTAAGGTAAATTCCTTTTCCTTGGTACTAAGTCAAAGTCATGATTTGTTACACTTTTGTTTTTTATTTTTATTTTTTTAATACATCTTTATTTTCAACAAAGCTGCAAACAACCACTATTAGAGTTAAAGTTACTGGAAGAGAAAAGATAAAGTTTATAAAGCAAGTTAATCATTAACAGATGACTTACAAGATTGCAAATTAAATAAATTATACGACAAACAAGACATAAAGAATTTTTAGAGCACATAGAAACAGTTGCAGTAAAATGGCGAGACTTAATTGAATGATGAGTATCAAGAGAATGAATTTTAGTAAATGGATCAAGAGGTGCTAGCTCTTCAGAGCAGTGGCCATTATTGAAGAAAAAAAGAGAAGAGAAGCAACATAACAACTATATGACTTGAAGATTCGCTGCAAGAGCAGGTTCAACTACGTTTACAATGCATTTTTGCACCTAGAATAAAAAAGAAAGAGTATACAATCTGCTCCAGATATGACAACAGTATTCCATACAAGGATGGATTAGAGGTTTAGGTGAAATAGAAATAAAAAAAAGAATCCAAAGTCAGAAAATGGCGAGCAAGACAAAGAAATGCAACCTTAGGAGAAGCTAATTTTGCAATCAATTTGATATATGGTTTCCAAGAAAAATCAGAAGTAAAAGTTAATCCTAGAATATAAATGATAGATAACTCATTGAGTACATTACCAATCATAAATTTTGGAAGATCTACATTATTGCAATAAGGATTAGTTGAACAAAATTGAGTTTCATCTGAGCTAAAGTTTACCAGCTACTGAAAGCCCCATGCTGTAGCAGAAGTGAAATTCTTTTTTAAGATTAAATGCCCCCTCCAAGCAATAAGAGAGAGTTGGCTTCTTATCAAGACAAGAATAAATGGTAGTATCATCAGCTAATAATGCCATCTTAGATGCAAGAATTTCTGGGATATCGTTAATGTAAATTAAAAAAAATACAGGAAATGAAAAAGAGTATTGTACATCCAGGACAACTTTTAAACTATGATTGGTAAGAAAAGATTTGATAATCTTAAAGATGTTACTTGATACACTGTAAGAAGAGAGCTTGTGGAGAAGAACAGCATACCATGCTTTTTCAAAGGCACATCTAATGCACAATAAAACCTATGGGTTATTACCATTAACAAATCAGCAGCAGAATGAGGAGATCAAATTGTTATTTAATTCATGATGAGAGATTAAGTGTTTGTTAATTAGTTAAATTGTTGTAAGTGGTAAGTGTAAGTTATAAGTGGTAAGATAATAGAGGGATTCTGATGATGAAGAAGAATGAGATGATACACTAAAAGTATAAACAGGAACACCATCCCCTTCGCAAATAGCACTGTTAGTACTCTGATACTTTACAGCTGTTGAGCGAATCAACCTCTCTGAGAGCTATCACAGAGTTTGGGAAACCTGATTACCAGCCGGCCTTAGAACCATCAAACTGAATTTTAGAGCTGTACCCTCATTAGCAGATAATAGAATGATTTTCCTAATCATAAAAGCAGAGACACAAGCAAAACCCATGTGTTGAGTCAAAAAGATCCAGCATTCAACATCCTAAACTAGAAACAATGTATTATAATTACATCATTTCTAACATTACATTTCTAACCTTAACTCAACCAAGAGCTTCATGGCTGTGGATGTGCTAAGTCAAAATTAGCTTGTCTTAGCCTTTTCCAAAAAAAAACCTATTCTACAAAGCAATAGGACAGGAAACCTAGTCAAGTTATTTAATATGATGAATATGAAGTCCCCATCAAAATAATGGTAGATGAATGGAGAGAAATGTTCTGTTTTTTGAATCAGAAACAACATTAAAACAAGTGTAGGGAGGAGGCAATCGATAAAATGTGAAAATGCATAAAATCAGTCAGAACAATTAAACTAAGTTTTAGTTTTTCAGTAATTTTAGTTTTTAAGTAAGTAAAAAAGTTGAAACAGCAAGACACTAAACAATTACATGATTGGTAGAGATAAAATAAGTGACACAATTAAAAATAGAGAAAATTTAAGAAATAAAGAGAATTTAAATGTTTTTAAATAAAATCATTCTATTATTATTATTATTATTATTATTATTATTATTATTATTATTATTATTATTATTATTACTATTATTATTCTTTATTTAACTTTGCAGGAAATAGTTGCAGTTTTATTTTTATTTTGAAATTTTGGAAATTAATAACTTTTATAAATCTTAAAAGTTTTAATTTTCTACTATGAAAAGTTTTTAACCAGAAAATAATATAGTTATAAGATAAATAAGATTTATAATAATAACAAACAATAAATAACAATAAAAAACAATACTTTTGATTTCTGCTAATAAAATTTTAGTTGTGTTAGGAAAATTTTACATCATTGTTACATTTGTAATTATTTGTGATCTTTTTGATATTTAGAAAATTTTACTAAAATATTTCAAAGTTATTTAAAATTCAAAGTTTATGAAGTATATTTCTTAAAGGTTTTCCTTGATGTTCATCAAAAGAAGAAAACTGTCGTCAGCGAAGCTAAAAAGCGAAAATCTATGGATGTGACTGAGTCATATGAACTTTTACAGTTAAAAGAAAAATGCATAGAGGAGTTAATTGAATTGAGAATACAAATTGCAAACCATAATAATTTATCAAACCCTGAGACTATTTGTGGAACAAATGTTTTGCATGGTTTAGCTGAAAATCTACCATCAACTATTGTAGAAATGATGGCATGCATTGGAGTTACAGAACATTGGTTTCAGATGTGGGGCGATGATTTTCTTGATGTATACTTTTAACCTATATTATATATACTTGTATTTAAATATTATTATTTACATTTTTTATTTATTTCCTTTTTTATGCTTATTCAAATAATTTTAAAAATTAAACTATAAATGATCATTAAAATATGTTTTTTAGGTAACTAAAAAGTACAGTGAAAAGGCAAATCTTATATCTAAAAGTAAAAACAATGTTCCTAAAGAACTTGTATCACCTTACTTTCAACCAAATGATGCTGGAGATACAGGTGATGATGGGTTATATTATGATGACCAGCTGCCACCTGCTAAAACATTTAAAAAAGGAAGATTTAGAAAAGGTGCTCGAATGTAAGTAAAATGTTTTTTTTGAATATGATTAAAAATTTCTGATATGTGAAAAATTAATGGTAGTGGTATTAAAAGGCTAATTTTACTAAATAGTGTTCAAGGTTTTAAAATTTAATTTTACATCACTGTGATTTGAAGATCACTATCAACTTAAAATGTGTAAAGTTTTTGTTGTATTATTCAAATTTTTGGTACTTGTTGGTTAGTATTAGGTGCTTTGGGTTGGTAATATATGTTTGTGGGTTTGTAATAAGTGTTTGTGGGTTGGTAGGTAATGTTTTTGAGTTGGTTATAGATGTTTGTGGGTTGGTATTAGGTGTTTGTGGACTAGTATTAGGTGTTTGTGCTTTGGTAATAAGTGTTTGTGGGTTGGTAATATATACTTGTTAGTTTGTAATAGATGTTTGTGGGTTTGTAATAAATGTTTCTGAGATTGTAATAAGTGTTTCAATGGTTTGTCAAAAAAATAAAAGCAAAAAAAAACAGTGTAATGTTTTTTTAATTTATTATTTTTTCTTATTTTTTTATTTTTTTAGTAAAAGTAAAACAACTGGTCAAAAAATGAAAAAAGCAAATTATAAAACTTTTAAAAAAAAGTCAAGCAATAATGGTTGGCCTCCAGCATGGAATGCAGATTCTTCTACATCAGCTGTAAATAAACCCACCACTTTTTCTAAAAAGTTAGGTCTTATGGCTCCACCTCAACTGAAAAAAGCTCGTTACAACTAGAATGTTTTTTTAGCATATTTTTTTTAATGAAGACAAAATCTGTTTAAAAAAGTTTTTTGAAAAAACTACTTTTTTTATAAATCTCTGTGTAAAAATACAAAGTTAAAACAAATTTTTACCCAAAATTTGTGTTTTGGTTTATTTTGCAAAAATATTTGGTTTTACTTCTTTGTTTAAAATATTCAATATTTGTTAGTAGTAGAATTTTACATTATTTAAAATTAAATAAGAAAATGTTTTGTTTTTTTTCCCCCTTACATATATATATATATATGTATATATATATATATATATATATATATATATATATATATATATATATATATATATATATATATATATATATATATATATATATATATATATATATATATATATATCCCCCTTACATATATATATATATATATATATATATATATATATATATATATATATATATATATATATATATATATATTTATATATTTAGATATTTATTTAAACTGTTTTAAAAAGAGCAAATGTTTTATAAAAATACAACTTACTTTTTTATAAAAATTTATACATCTACTGTAATAATAATGTCTACTAGCCTGTTTATCTTTATAAATAAATAATGTTTAGTATGTAGTTACAGTGAAATAACATAATAAATATGGAAGAAAACATTTTGCTTGTGTTAAGTATTATCGAAGGTAAGATATTTAAGGTATTCCTCACAAAGTTATCTTTGGTTGAGAATTAGTTATTTGGCTTCATGGTTTGTAGATAGATTAATATTGTATAAATTACATATAATTAAATTTATTGATATTTATTATGTTGAAATAAATTTAAGTTCGGTGGTATAGCCACACTAACACATTTATTTTTAAATAATATGAAAAAGTGTTTATTAACTTTTTATTTTTTTCAAAAGGTCGACACTTTCCTAAAAGACCTCATCATAAATTAGTCATTGAGGCAAAATTTGATGGAGAGTTTTTGACAACTGATCTCATAAAACATAATGATAATCCTCAGTTTAATACTGAACTGGCTTGGGAAATTGATAAGAAATTATTACATCAACATAAACTCCAAAGAACACCGATTAAACTTCAGGTTTTTTTTTTTTAATTTTTTTTTTAATTTTATTAATTTTTTTTTTTAAGTATTTAAGATCAAGATTATATTTGTTTAAAATTTTTATTTTAATTATCTCATGATAATCGTTGCTATGCTTCTTATTTGGGTCACTATGCTACTTCTTTCTTTATTAAACTTTAGACATACTCTATGAAATTGACATTTTCTAAGCTAAAATGTCAGCTATTGTTTTCAAAATTCTTTTTTTTTTAAATTTCCTGTAGTACTGCTATAAAAGGCGCTTTATGGCGAGTAAGGTTTTTAAATGTCAGAGTTTGAACCCTCTATTAATGCTGTTTACATTTACCTGTTTACATTTACAGTGCCCTTGTTTATTAAGTTATAGAGTTATTCACTTTGATATTCAATCTTTCATTTGTGGTATTCAAATTAATGTCAAATTAAAATTGACACTGACGATTTTTTGATATAACTTAATTTCAAAAATATTTATTAAAAAGTATATATACATAAAAATTACCAGTAAAAAATTTTTCAATAGAAATTAAAAAAAAAGTAATTATATAATTATAAAAGTATTACGTGGTCGAAGGAATTTGCTCATGTTTACCATACCACCGAAAGAAAACATGAAAGCACAATAAATTAAAATTCTAATCGAAACATAAAAATATAAATAAATTCAATTTAAGATCTAAAACCAGATAGGTATTAATAGCATAAATAATCCAAAGATAAACAGAAATCAGAATACCTCATTAAAAAAAAAAATTTTAATCAACAAAACAACAATAGCCTTAATTAAACTCTAACGCTGTCATAGATACCTCGTTCGAAATGTGATAACCAATCAAAAGTGAAGGAAAATGAAAAACCCGTGAAACCTAGAATCATAACAATGATAGAACAATGTGTGGTTGCGAAAAAATTGTCGCACAAAGACCTTAATAAAGTAACCGGCATAAATGTAGACATTAAATGAAGGATATAAAAAATTCCTCTGAATATTAATAAAAGATGAAAATTGTGCATATGAAAATTCAATTTAAGTTGAGTAATCAATGCAAGATAATAAATCATAAAAATTCATAATAAACAGTAATAATATGAAAATCATGATTTTCAAAGAAAAAAATTTCCGGGATTTTCATAAAGTCAAAAACTCATCTATGGACCATATAATAACACTACAGCATATTTGATCTTTTGTGTGTGTGTTAGTAGGGGGGGGGGGGGTTCATAATCGTCTTTTTTTAGATTTTTTATAGTTTAACCAATTTTTCTTAGTTAGTTTTTTCATGCTGATTTTGAAAATCTAATCATTTTTTTTCATTTTAATTATTTAGCCTTCTACTTCAATTTTAATAAAAGTGAATCTATTGACAAAAAAAGGCATTGTTAAAAATAGATGAAATTATTATTATCATTAAATATAAGAAAAGTAGAAAACTAGAAATCTTTTTCTGTTTAATTTATCAATAATATACCTTTTATAAGTAACAAAAAAAACTTAGCATTATATATGAAAATAATTCATACAGTTTGTTATTTACTATTGAAAATGGAAAATAACTATAAAAGTCATATGTGATAGAGATTGCTGCGTGATCTTTCTATATAGAACATCTAGGTTATATGCGTGTTCTTTGGTAGACATAAGATGGAGGTTTGTATTTTTATATGGACTTTAATTCTTTAAAATATTTTTAAATTGCGTGAACCTTAATTTTTTATATGGTCTAAATAATTAAGTATACATCAACTCTTGAAATTAAATGGATTTTTTCTAAAGCTTTCCAGCTGCAACAACTTAAATAGAAAGTTAATACTAATCATATTCCATCATCAACCAAACACATAATACTTTCTCTTTTTTGAAGTTCTGAGGCTAACTTTTGCCAAAATACTCTAGCAAGAATGATACAATCATTCAACCTCTTTGAGGTATACTTATTAACTGCTTCTAGAATTTTTTTTAACTAGCTATTCACTGCGTTTTAGAGTAAAGCAGAAAATTTCAAAATTTGATCACCCAGTTTGTTTTTTATAAAGCCTTTTAGGTAGCGGTGTTCCTTTAGCCTGTTTATCTTTAGAATTGTTAAAATTTTAGAATTTAACTGAACTTCTACTGACTGGCACTTTAAAAGAAGATTTATTCTTGACTTCATTAAAGAAAAGTGAAGTAAAAAATGAAATTTTGAATAGCCTTCTTGATAGCTTGAATAACGATTAAAAATAAATAAAAAAAGGAAATTAAGATATTTTGAAGCAATCTGTCTTTTTGATTACTTAAAATGTTTTGTTTAGAAAGAGACTTCAGATAAAACTTTTTTTTTGAAGCAATCTGTTGTTTTACTTATTTAAAATGTTTTTTTAGAAAAAGACTTAAAACTTTTTTTTTCTAAAACGCAACGATTAAAAATCAAATTTATCCAATCAAAATTTGAATAGCATAAATTTGAAAGAAAAGTTGCGTAACTTTATATGCAAAGAAACTTTTGTAAAGACTTTTATTTTTTATATCTTTAAATTTTTAAAATAGAAGTAGAAGGTCAACCATAAAAAATTAGCAAAAACTGAATTGTTTTTAAACTTTTTTCAAAAAATTAATTAAGAATAACTGGTTAAACAAGAAATATAGAATTTTGGACCTCCCTTCCCCCCCTAGTGTTAGTGTGGTGGAATACTGTCAGAAAATTTTTGTTGTCGCAAATTTGATTGTTGAAAATGTAAAAAAGCAATAGTGTTGCAAATTGTTGCATTATTGATTGTCAAATAGCTGAATAAAGATTAATGTTGCACATGAATTTAATGAATAGTGTCGAAAATAAAAAAAAAATAATGTCGCAAGGGGTTTAATAAATAATGTCGAAAATAGAAAAAAGGAATAATGTCCTAAAAGAGTTTAATAAATATTAACAACATTTGAGGTAACAAAAACAAATTATTTTATATTTTGAAGTATTAAAGTAGCTGATTTATTGATGTAGTACTGGATACTTTTCAGATAACACAAAGTCTGTAGTTAGTACCAGGTTTATTTATCTTATTCTGTTGGTGATAGATAAGTTTTTGTTTTAACACATTTTTGAATTTGCAGATTGGTTGTTGAGTTGGAAATTCGAATGACTCATATGTTGTTGTTAAAACAAGATATGTTATTAAATATGTTATTAAATATATTGTTGTTATGTATCAAAAAGAATAGCAATGTTGTGATCACTGAATTGCTAGAATTTATGATAAAAAATCATTGACTTTAGAATGTAGAGTGATTGGAGATAAAGATGGGCCAAGTGATTTTATAATTTTGGCAATATTTGTTAGAAATGCCAGGAAAAGATAATTTAGATGCTGTTGCTTGAGTTGGGTCATGATTTATTTGCCAGAAGTGGTTTTTCTTTAATAGTATCTTGATATCAAGTCCATTTAAGTCACCAGTTATGTATGTAATCAAGTCCATTTAAATCATTAGCTATGTAAGTAATCAAATCCATTAAAGTCACCAGCTATGTAATCCAGATGCTTTTTCAGACATATAAGAAAAAGGAGAAGGAAAATAAAAATTCATTTTTCATAAGTAGATATTATCTGTCAATCTCAAAGCCTCAGTCATTTTATGTTATGAATCTCCACAGATTTAATTATGATGTTATCAGTGATAAAATGATCCTTAAAGGGATTCCAAACTCCCAACACATGTTGTGTTCATATTAAAGATAATGTTAAAAAAAAAGGTTTGAACCAAATTTTTTTGATTAAAAATAAATAATGAATGCATACCGTGAAAAACAAATGTTGTTTTTGCCGAAGCTCGTCTTCTCCATTTTTTTCAACCACTCGGAGTCTTCAAATTATGCGTCGCAATCTACAGACTTTGGCAATTCCTTTGAAGCGCGTTTAATTCATAAAAGTTTTAGTATTTTACGTCACGGTAGACTTTTAACAAAAGAAAAGTGTAATTAAACTAAGCTGCGTTTTTCTACTGTAGTATTTTTTTAACATACAGCAAAACAAATTTATTTGTATTATTTTTCCAAACATCGCAAAAAAAAATTTGTAAAAAGTAAAAACAATAAATTATTTTTATTTTATAGGAGCAACTTATTTTTTTACAGATATCTTAATAATTTTTAGATTTATATATCTTACTTATATTTCTTTATTTAAATTAAAACAAATATTAAAGCTTTACTTACCAATCTTATGATTTTCTTAAGAGTATTTTACATTATATAGAACATTTTATATGGTCTCTCGTTTTTGTGCAAGAGAGCCCAGTATTATTTATTCTAAATCTCACATTAAACAATCAAAACTATTTTCTAACTGCTCTGGTCATTTTTACGCTATGAAGTTTTTTTTTTTTCCATCGAAAAAAAGTAATTACAAGCAATTGCTTTCATTTAATTAGAGATATTTGATAAACTGTTAAATTTTTTTATTATAAAAATTTTTTGATTACGCTGGTTAAGTTTAAATTGCTGAACTTGCTAAATTGGATATGGATAAAAAAAAATCATTTCATTTTGCATTTGATTTTTGATAACAAAACTTTTGAAATGTCAGCAACTCCATACCAATTAGAACCTGTTAAGGTTATGAACAAAAAGAACAAGAACACACCAAACAATACAGTCAGTAGTATCAAATATAAAAGTTTTAATGTTGTTATGGCTAATGCGTCAAAAATAATTAACAGCAATAACAGCACAAGCCGGCATTATGAATTTTAAACTGTTACGGTTCAATACTTTGTAACCATCAAATTGAAAACATGAAGTACGTATATTTTTGCCCATTTTATACAATTAACATTTAACAAAAATACAGACAAATTATTATTAATTAACGCAATAATGACCACATTAATTAATGGCAACAACTCAAGACGGATAGTAATTTAAATTGTTAAAATATCGCAACGTGCGTTAAAAAACATTATATTTGCTATTTCCCAATTTATGTGCTGTAATTTGTGAAAACACCTAATGAAAATTTTACTAAACAATAGACGATGTGACGTCTGACTTTCTTGCGCAAAATTCGGGTAGTTCTGAATGTCACGCAATAAAATTTTGTTTTTACTCTAACATATTTTACATACTATAGGAACAAATACGTTCCTAGGGCCTTTTCTGATCTTAGAATAAATTAACACAATATCGCATAATTTTAGGGGCTTTTTATTTATTGCTAAGTCATTCTAAATAATAAGTAAATATAGTTAAAGTTAATATTTTAATAATTACAGTTGCAATATAACAAAAAAAAAGATGTTTAATGTTGAACTTTTTATTTAGTTATTTATTTTTTACCTACTTTTGTTATAAAAAGACTTTAGTACCCCCTTCATTTAAATAATTTGTTTTAAATATATTTCGACGTGATTATTCAAACTAATTTTTTTCGTTTGACTTCCCCAAGCAAATTGAGACAAAATATCGTCTAACCAAATAAAAATGTTGTTACTAATTTTATACGGGTAATTAATGTAAAACATTTATTTATCAGTCTTATAATTGAGATAATATTTTAATACGGGTTATTAATGTAAAACATTTTTTTAACAGAGTCTTGATTGAGATAATAAATATTCATAATTTATAAACATTAAATATATGGCGCAATAACAATTTATAGCAACAAACCAGCATAAAGTATTTAACGTTTTTAATATCTTTTTAAATATTAAAAGTAGAAAAAAAAAAAACTAAACAAATAACCAAAAAAACTTCGACTAAGTTTCTTTTGTTAAAAGTCTACCGTGACGTCAAATACTAAAACTTTTATGAATTAAACGCGCTTCAAAGGAATTGCCAAAGTCTGTAGATTGCGAAGCATACTTTGAAGACTCCGAGTAGTTAAAAAAAATGGAGGACGAGCTTCGGCAAAAACATACTTTGAAGACTCCGAGTAGTTGAAAAAAATGGAGGATGAGCTTCGGCAAAAACAACAACATTTGTTTTTCACAGTATGCATTCATTATTTATTTTTAATCAAAAAAATTTGGTTCAAACCTTTTTTTTTAACATTATCTTTAATATGAACACAACATGTGTTGGGAGTTTGGGATCCCTTTAAGTAGTATTTTATTTATATACACACACACATTTATAATATATAAAATAAAGTAATTTAATACATTCAAAAACATAAATGAAAAATTTTTTATTTCTTTCTTTTTCGTTTTATTATTATGTAGGTTAATTTTTCCTACTATTTACTTAGCAGTTTTTTAAGCTAAAACATTAAAAATTTTTAGCTTAAAAAACTTAAAACTTATATTAATATTTCTATTTTATTTTAATCTTTTTATAATTTTGTAGTTCTCTGTTTATAATTTTATAATTTATGTACAGTTTTTGTTAAAAAAATTATCAATTGTTTTTTAATGGTTAATAAACTTATATTATTGGTAAGGCTGTCAACAGGTACCCGGGCAACCGGGTACCCACCCATTGGTTACTGCCCGCATTATAAAATGACGAGTAATTGTTGTCCATGCAAAAAAACAAAATGTTTTAATTTACAAATTATCAATTCTAATTTTTTTTTAATTTTTCAATCATTAATTGAAATAAAACAATTTGAAACAATATGAAATTGATATGTAAAGTAAGATTTTGAAGAAATAGTTCTGATTTCTTTATCACCATTAGAACTTCTGAAATTTAACAAAAATGTTTGGAAAGTCATTTTAGTTTATGATTTGGAAACCCACCTTTTTATTCTTAATTTTGTTACAATGTTTTCTTTTACTTTTTAAATAAATAAAATGTTATAATAAAATTTCATTAATGTTTTGTAAAAGCTAGTTGTTCTTTCTTCTTTATAATTTGCTTTTAAAAACAAAGTAAGTTTTAAAAACATTTTAAAAACTAATTTTATAGAAAAAAGAAATGAGTAAAGTATCAAAAGTTTGGTCTTATGCAGACCGAATTGATAAGAACAGCGTGAAGTGCAAGCAATGTGAGGCAATTTTGACAGCGAAAGGTGGCAACACAAGTACTATCTGACACCATCTTACTGGAACACATCATATAGATATTGATGGCATTGTCAGTTTAGGCTTACCAAACATTTTGCCTTTCTATACAGCTTTGCAGCCTAAAATGACAAAAGAAAGAGAACTAGTTTTGTATCAGAAAATAGCAGACTTCATTGCTCGTGATGCATACCCAATAAGTTGTTGAAATTATTGAAATAAATAGTTGAAGGTGATGAATTCCTTAGCTTGTTGAAATATACAGATCCAGACTGTTGTTAAAACTTGTTCAACTACCACAAAACTGATAAAGAAAAAATACGACGAGACACTGTCAAATACGTCAAGTCACTGAAACTGAAATTAGGTAAGGTCCAGTTTGTAGCTTTTACAACAGACATGTCGACTAGTAATCAAAACATTGCATATATGTGTGTATCTGCGCATTGGGTTGGAATGGGAGCTGACATTTGCAATCTTGCAGAAACAAGAATATCCTGAACGGCACACTGGAGAAAACATCAGTATTCGTTTAAAGTATGCTGTTGACGAGTGGCGAATTACTGTTCAGAAAATCACTACTACAGTCCATGATAACGATTCAAATATATACTGAGCAATCGGTTTTGTTGATAAATGGCCAGATCAGTGCTGTTTTGCTCACATGCTACAGTTAGCCATTGGAGCTAGTCTGAAACTTCCAGCAATTGTGAATATAATTCGGGCTGCAAGGCAATTGGCGGTACACTTCAAGCGGAGTACATTAGCAATGCAGGAATTGCATAACAAACAAACAGCACTGAGATCTAAGGGTGATGAAAAAACATTGGAAGTCATCATAGACTGCTCTACTCGATGGAATTCCACGTTGGACACGCTAGAACGATTAGTGAAGCAACGTTGGATAATTGGAGCCATGCTGTCAGAACAAAATTTTACAACAAAAAAAATGTGTCAACTCTACAAATGATGGATGAAAACTGGTTGCTTGCGCAAGCCATTATACCCATTCTAAAACCATTAAAGCAGGTAACAACTATGTCATCTGGTCAGAAATATCCTTTGTTGTCATTAGTTTATCAACTGTTGTCTATTGTTCTAAAAAATGTTCGAGCAGCAAAACCAGACGAATGCACTGCTGCCAAAAATTGGAGAAATGTCATTGCTACTGAAATAACAAAGCGATATTATCCAAAAGGATTTAGTTTACTATCTGGACCAAGAGCATCTGTATTAGATCCATGTTATAAGCTTTTAAAATTTTAAAAAGACCCTATTCGAAATGAAACATACTCCGCCATTAGAGCTGAAATAGAAACTATTGTTATGCCAGTATTGGAAGAAAATATCGTAGTAGTAGAAGAACTGATGCCAATGTGAGCACCGTATCAAGTAGAGCCGGATTTACCAAAGGAGAATGTTTTTTATGAACTAGCATTGCTGTGCACAGCCAACGAAGGGTTTGTACATACGGATAAATTGGCATTTTACCTTTCGGAAATGCCAATAACTGTCAACAGAAATATCTTAGAGTTTTGGCAAGATAACACCAAAAGTTACCCAAAGCTTTCTATTTTGGTTCGCAAGTACATGTGCATACCTGCAACTTTCGTGCCAGCAGAATGCGTTTTTTTAACTGCTGGACATGTGGTCAATCAATGGCGTGCATCATTAGCACCCAAAACAGTAGACTTTTTTCTTAACCATAAATAGGAGTTTTGTAACTTGGACACTTAATGTAAAATAAAGTTTAGATTTAAGTGAAAATGAATGACATCATTGATTGAGACATTTTTATTGCTTTTTATATTTTATAAGTACAACTTTGATAAAAAATAATGTTTTTTAAGGGGTACGCGGGCAAGCATTTTTACAATTTTTGACAGCCTTAATTATTGGTTAGTTTTGTCATAATTATTAATACAAAATTTATTATAATATTTTCTATAAAATACTTCCTTCTAAAATTTTCTTTTTCAAAATTGGTTATTTTTTTATGTTTAATATTTATGAATTTTTTCCAATAAAATTTATTATTTTCTAATATTATTTTTCAATGTTAAATACTTTCTTAAAAATTATTATTATTTTTAATTGTCTGTAGGTTTATGCTGTAGAGTCTACAAATTTAAGTAAAGAACTGATTGGTTATTGTGTTTTAGACATTCGATCTGCTCAGCTTGATGGCAAAAAGGTATGTTCAAGGTATTTTTTATTTATTTTTTTGAACAAAGCAACTGTTTTAGTGTTTGTTTAGAAACCTAATTTCAGATTTTTTTTTTAGAAGGGTGAATGGGTCAGTTTGTTGAACAGTAAATACCAAAGTTTAAAACCAGAAATAAAGACTTCATTAATTCTTGAAATTGATCAAGTCAAAAATGATGATGAACAAAAAAATACAAAAAAAGGTTTGATGGTTTTATATTTGGTATATAAATATTTATGTATATATATGTGTATATATATATATGTATATATATATATATATATATATATATATATATATATATATATATATATATATATATATATATATATATATATATATATATATATATATATATATATATATATATGTTGTCTATCAATAGATGGAGGTGCATATAGCATGGGTCTTTAAGAAATAAAAACGCTATCTTTATGCATGCAAAAGTTCAGTTTCAGTATTTAATTTGAGAGTTTTGAGTCATTTAACATGGAAATATTTTGACTGTGTTATTACTATAAACAGTTTTGGGTTGATTATTATTATTCTTTGTGGGATAATTCATTATTAATGCATAAAGTTTTCTTAAAATAAATTTTACAATTGAAATAAAATTCATTTTAGTGAAATCAATATTGTCCAGTCAAAATGACTCATTGGGAGTTGTATTAGACCAAGAAAATGGATATTATCTGATTGGTCAACAATGCAATGAATGTAAGATATTTGTTCTATCTGTTTCAATTGGTGGTGCGAAAAATTTGATTAAGGTAATAATGATTTCTGCTATATATATATATATATATATATATATATATATATATATATATATATATATATATATATATATATATATATACACGTATGTATATATATAATTACTTCAATTAATAAAAATGAGTTAATAAATATTGTAAAATCCAATTATTTCTAAAGATAAATAAAAATAATCTATTCTGTGATATCTAACTGCAAATAAAGTAGGGCTGTACCGGTTTTTAATTTTTCCAAATTTCTACTAACAGATCCGGCCGCAATTGGAGCCAGAGCTGGATTTCAAAGCAAAATTACACTGAAAATGGTCAACAATGTTGACTATTTAGATCACCAAGTGACAGTTGTTTTCTATTAAACATCATTTTTGTTGTTTAAAAGTTTTATAGCAATTTCTATAGAAATTAACAGACATTTTATATAAATCCTATAGAGTTTCTATAGGCCATATGTTTCAAAAATTTAGAGAAATATAGAACTTTTTTTCCCGCGATGTTGTCTCTCCGCCATTGTAGTGAATCAGCGTGTCTATATATTTTCGATTCTTCTAGATATTGGCTTAACTGAGTGTCAATGCCTATTGGTAGTTGTTGTTATGTGTTGTGCCACAAGCGGGCATAGACTGAATTATTTCATCTGTATATATTGCCATTGTAATGATGATAATGTATAAGAACTATCCAGCTGGGATTTTTTTGCTGGATTTTCTTTAATTTTTTCAATCTAAAAAGGTTTCTCCTCAATGCCTTTAAAACGATCTAATGACTTGATTAGGATTGACTTCATAGTCTTTACACCTGCATTATTGCAGAATATCGTGTGTCTTCTCTTCAGAATTTTTTGTTGTGTTGTTGTTTGAAATTAGGCTCAGCTAATTAAATTGTAAAGAAATGTAAATACAGATGCCAAAACAAACAAGATGTTCAAAAATTAAGTATTAAGTATACATGTTATTATGGGCAAGAAAGTTGAAATAAATATCTGACCAAAATTTAAAAATCCGGCAAAAATTATGCTGGATTTGCTAACATTTTGCCGGAGCCAGATTTGGGCCGGATTTGTAAAAATGGCCGGATTTCGGCCGGAAAAGGAGCCGGAGCCAAAATTCGGCCTAAAATTAAGAAGTTTTCAGAAAATTCCAGAAAAAAAAAAAGTAATTAATTTGAAAAAAAAACTCTATTAGTTTTATATTAAAATCTGTTATATTAAAAATAAATGATGTGAAAAATCAATCCAAAAACTAATTAAATAAAAAATTTTCTTTTATAGTTTCTTACTTCTTGGAAACTAATTTGGATTAAGTTGTGAGAAAGATTTTTTTTTGACTAAAGTATACCAAAATATTAAAAAAATATCATAATACATATTTTTAAATGTATTCACCTTTTGAGTTCCAAAAGCCAATTTGTGTTACTTGTCTCTCTTAACTTTTAACTGCCAAACAAAAGCAATGCTTTACAGAAAAACAAGTTGCCACTAAAACTTCTTTTTAATAATAATTGTTTTGAGTTCAAAAGTTTACAGCCTGTAAAAAAAAACTGAGTATATACTTGATGTTTGCTTGATCAGTCAAACACAATGACAAGTTTGAAACTTTATAAAATGTTTTAATACTAATTATTTCTTTTTTTTTAATTAAAAGTTAAAAATAATAGTAATTAAATTTATGCATTTTTTTTTTTCAAACTTCTGTTTTTTTTTTTGTAGTTGTTGAATCCAACTTCAAACATTAGCTCAGAGAATGGATATTATTTTTATTACTCATTGTTTGGTAATGATGTTACTAATGAAACCTTTTATGACTTATTGAGTACTTCAATTCCGACTGAGCGAGCCACAGTTCGTATTTGTGCAACAAGTGAAAGATTGTTTAATTACTTGAAAAGAAAAAACTTACTCGAAGTATGATATATTTTTTTATTTAAACTTTTTAATTTGTTTTATATACATACATATTTTATACACATATATGTTTGTTGTATGTATATATATATGCATGTTCGTATTATTTTATTATTGTATTGGTTTTCTATTGATTACGTTTAGTTGATTTTTAATTATCATTAATTTAATTATTTTTTTCTATTTACATTTATTCTGTTGTTTTTTTATTTTGCTTGACTAATCTAGATCTTTTTTTGTTCTGGAGAAAATTATCTTGGAAAAACTACTGTTTCATTGGATTCGTTGCTTGTTGACAAAAATTTTTCTTCATCCCTTTCATTAGAAGGAATGTTTCCTATATTGACTATGTCTTCTTCTTCATCAGATGCCATGTTGGGTGTCTCTGTTGTATTAAAAAGAGAAGAGGTCATTCAAGAACCAAATGTTAGCCCTGTAGTTCCAACACAAGCCCATAAGGTAAATGATAATGCTATATATCAGTTATTATATAACAAAAAGGTTACTATAAGGTTACTAAGGTTACTAGTTATTATAAAACAAAAATAACTTTTTAAAACTAATAATTTAAAAAAAATAAAACTAAAACTAAAATAATATTCACAATTATGTTATGTTTGTGTTAAAAAAAATTTTTTTTTTTAAAGAATTGGGCTCAAATTTGTTTGATCATATACAAATACGTTAATTCTAGATTTTCAAATTAACATCCAAATTCAAATATATGGAATCAGAATTTTCCAAATGCTGAATGAATGAAAACAAATATTTTTTTGTTTTCTAACAAATACTCTTTAAAAAAAAAATTAATTTAAAAAATTATTAGTGTTACAAATGAAAAAAAACAAAAAACAAAGAACCTATTTATATTTCCCAAATATACAATGGTTAACTTAGTTTATGGAACTGAAGATACATTTCAGTCAAATGCAAATACAAATAATTAAGAAATTTCTATCAAATACAATATAAATACAAATATGCCAAATAACTCCTTTTTATTAAATACAAATACAAATTCAAATACAAGTATGTATTCAATCCCAACCTTGTTTACTTACTAAAGTTATATATTATAAATCTAGTAAGAATAATATATAGTTAATTAGAGATCAGTTTTTTCTGAAGGAAACAGTTCTTTGCATTGTTTGAAAAAATTCAGAAGAAAAAATTTAAGTGGTAGTAATAGTTACTTTTTAAGCAGATTTGTTAATAATTGTTTAAGTTGTTTTAAAAACCCTCGGTATCAGTCTAGATTCAACACTTTCTATGAATCAGTACATAAGCAACACTGTTAAATCCTGCCACTACCAGCTTCATGCTCTTAACCATATCTTTTCATGTCTCACCAAAGAAGCCTTAAATTGCTTGTGGCATTAATTACTTTCAAATTAACTATTGTAACAGTTTTTAATTAGGTACTTACTAAAAAATCTCAAAAAACTCCAATGTGTTCCAAATAGCTTCCATCATTTCTCATTCTCTTTTCCAGTTAAAGTCAGTTACCAATTTATCAAAGAATAATCTATACTAGCTGAGATCAAACCCGTAAAAATATGGGTCTTTGTAAATCTATTGCATACTGAACTTTTTCATACTTTTTCTTATATATCCTAGCTTTCCGGATCCGTAAAATACAGATCTTCACCAATTTACATATCTATTTCTAGTTGAAAATTTCTATACCTATTCTTTATTTACTTCAATATTTTTTAGTAAAATAATTTATTCTGAAAAAAAATTTATAAGCAAATAACTAAACATGCGCACCTTTTCTGTATACGTAGAGCTTATAAGATACTTATAATTAGCTTTGTTTTTCTGCTAAATGCATTTCATTGATAGCTCAGTGATAAAGTGCGCTGTCATCAGTGTTGTTTTCGAGGGTTTAAGACCTCTTAGCATAATAAGTTTTGAAATTTTTTCAATCTTGCTTATATATTTATAGCAAAAAAAATAAAATTTTCAAGTTTTCTCATTTTATTGATATATAAGATAATATATAAGATAAAATAAAATTTTAAATAAAATTTTAAAGTTTTCTCATTTTATAGATTTTTATTATATGTTATTATTCCATATAATGCCTGCAAACTTAAGATATGCTAAAGGCATTTCTCTATGGGCATTTGTTTTTAAAAGTTATTTCTAAATGTATTTTAAATGTCTTCTAAACATTCTAATGTAAAAAACGTTTAAAAGACTTTAAAAAACATTTATAACACATTTAGAATGTAACTTTTAAAAACAAATGCCATTAGGGTTACACTTACAGACCTTTGCACATAACGCTATATAAAGATAACTAAATCAAATATACAAATAGAACTAACAAAGATCTTAGAGCACTAATACATAGTCATAAAAAAAATTCTAAAGAAGTAAAGAATAATATTAAACGCTAATCTAAAAGTTAAGCCAAAAAGATTTTGCCCATTGACATCAGCTTGTGGCAAAACAAACCTTTATGCGTCAAGTTTCCTTTTGCATTTATCATACATTTTTTTAATTATTAAAAATAATTAAAAAAATGTATAATAAATGCAAAAGGAAACTTGACACATTATCATACATTATCAACATATTATGTTGCATAAAAATGCATAAAAATATATAAAACTGGTACAGATATATCATTTTCATGGATAAGAAATTATTTTAATAAATAAATAGTTTTTGTCTTTATTAGAATATATCCCATAAAAATATATTTCATATATCTTTAATAGAAAGAGTTTTTTAAAAAAATGGAAATAAAATTTTATTTCTATGACTATCATTTTGAAAGGTCTACAAAGCAGATGACGTAGTTTTAGCAATCAGAAATTATTGAGAGAGGGGCAAATCTAAAGTTGAAGTTTCAAATTTTCGAATTGGATGTGACAATTTCTTTCGTGTTTTTTCAATCTTGTCAAATTTTTTAAATATAATAACATAACTACAAAAAATAAAAAAAAACAGCTTGAGCAAAAAAGACTTGAAAAAAAAAACAGCTTGAGCAAAAAAGACTTAAAGAAGTTTATTTATATTACACTAGCTGTCATGACCCGTACGATACAAGTCATGGTAAGTCTAATCCACCCCCGACTATTTCTAATTTGTTCCTAATTTAGTCTTTATACTTTAATTTATTTTAGTAAATGGCAGAAAATAAATCAAATTAAAGTTCTGGTGGTTAGTAAAATGCAAACTTTTTTGCAAAGTATAAATCTATTGCTTGTTTAATAATTAATTTAAAAGAAAACAGTCTAATTTAAATAAAATATATCGAATACCAATATATTTAATTTAAAAAATTGGTGGGAATGTTTTAAATATAATGACTGTTGTGCTCATTAAAATGTCTTGGTTTGCTAAAAAGTACGCAGTTTACATTTTACTGACTACCTAAAGTTCTTGCCTTCTGGTTATTTTTTAATTTACTATACTTAAGAACTATTTAGTATTTTATTACATTATTACTTATTAAGGTGACCAACTATTTTTATATAAAAAGAGTACACTTAGCAAGTATTTCATAGGTAAAAAAAAATTTTTTTACTCATGCGTCAAGACTGTCAATCATGCCGTACATACTGCACATCAAAGATCAGCCTTGGGATTATGTACACAAATATTGGAAAGATAGATATATCCATCTCTTTTCGCAAATGCAATTTTTATGTTGTTAGAAAAAGAGGTCTGTAATATCTATCTCTCCAGGAACAAAATACAGCCTCTCAATTGTGCCAAAATCAACAGCCAAGTGTGCACGCAAAATTAAAATCTCTGACAAACTTGTGTCTGCTGTTTGTCCTGTCCTCTGACGTGCCAGAAACGTTAAGCAATATTTGCGCGTGAAATTCATATCACTGTCAAAATAATTTTAAATATTTAATTAATAAAATTGAAATAAAATGATCTAAAAAATATGTTTTAGAACTACAAATGAGTATAAAATTATACAAATGAGTACTTTCAGAGTACAGGATTTGAAAAGTACGGTTTGTGAAAAAAAGAGTACAAAACTCAGTAAATGAGTATAGTTAGTCACATTATTACTTGTTTACTATAAAATTTTCTTCATAATAAAAGCAGAGTTGTTAGTCCTTGTCTTGAAATTTTTGGCCTTGGAGTTTATAAGAAAATACATAAAATACATAGAATTCAAAGTTTTCTTTCTTTATTTTACATAATTAATTGTATAGTTAATCACTCTTAATTTTAGGTAATTACTTTATTAACATAAGGCAAAAATTTAAGTCTTTGGCCTCGAAAATGTTTGCGTAAGCGTTGGCCTTGAAACTCTTATTCTTGGCCATTCTTGGTAACATGTGGCCTTGGCCTTGTTAACAACTCTGAATAAAAGTATCTTTAGGTGATAAAAGTATGACAGTTGTCTAACATTTCTTCAGGTGTTTTTGGAAACTTAGGCTATGATAACAGTATTTTAACTCTCTTTAAAGATTTATTTAAAAAGCAATTTTGGACATTGAAAAAAGGGCCCAAGAGACCTAGTTTATTTCAAATAAGTTAGCTTTTTTATAAAAGCCTTTCTGTATAAAAACTCTTAACAAATTCATACAATTAAAATGTTTTTACTGTGGAATTAGGTAAATAAAGTTTTAAAACTGTTGTTTGTGTAATCGATACTTAATGCAAATGGAAACCGTCTTGATTGTACAAAAGGTGATAAAAGTATAAACGGTTTCTATTCACATATAAAAAGATAACGAAAATATAAAAAATATATAAATATACTTATAAAAACAATTTAATTTGAAACATTCTTTCATTATTCTTTTAGTAAATTTTATGAAGATTATCAAGCTTTGTTTTAGCTTTTTGAATACAATCAACATTCAGAACATTAATTCTGCTATGTAGGAACTTTCAAAATCAGTCATAAGAGAAGGAGTTTGACCTAAAAATGGAACAGAATTATTATTTAATACACTTATTGCACATTATTTGTTATTTATTTATTTGAAAACTCAAAAATGTGAAGAAAAAAAAAAATACAATAATAATGCTACACTCTAGCTGTAAACTCACAAGCAAAGTCTCAACACTCTAATTTGATTTTTTTTACCTTGAGGCTTTTTAAAAATGGGTACAGTATTATAAAATAGAAATGTACAATAAAAGCAATCAATTAATGTACTAATTCAAGTATGAGTACAACAACACTTGAGCCAGAAGAAGCAGCTAGAGCTATATATATATATATATATATATATATATATATATATATATATATATATATATATATATATATATATATATATATATATATATATATATATATAAATACAATAATATTACTACACTCTTACTGTAAAATCACAAGCAAAGTCACAACACTTTAAAGTAATGGAAACTACATAACCACTTAAACATAACACGCATAGAAGCACTTTATGTATTTAAGATCTTATAACTGATTTTATAAATATTAAAGATTATAATAGAGATAATAAAGATTTGAGAGTACCTTATCATGTGGTCAAAAATATAAAGTGATATATTATATGGTCAAGTGTAACAAATCTTCTTTAAAAACTAAGAGTCAAATGAATAAGTAAGCAGCATTAAATTAAACATTATATAGGACTAATTAATTTGTATTTAAGACTAAAATTTTGTCTAACTGCAAACCTATAACTATAATACTGGGACAAACTAACACTTTGCTCTAGTTAATTGTGCCATCATCATTTTTTTCTTCTACTTCTGCCATGTTTTTAAATGCAGAAGCAAATGGGTTTTCTTGATTATTTAAAGTTTGTAAGAGTTGCATTAACTTATTCATACAATCAGCATTACCAAGTTACTCCATTCTGAATGACACTGCTACATTAGGATCATATATATTTAACTGACAATACATGGGTAAAAAACCTTCTTCAGGCCTTATATTTCCAACACGATGCAAAATTTGCCCATAAACCCTAAAACAAAAAGGGCAATTATTTGAGGAATGAGGTATTTTAGCTGTGAAGGAAGCAAAAGATAAAAAGGAATTATAACACATATCCTGATATCTTTTATTTCTATGGCAGTTTATTTCAGCTCACCTAGGCTCATCTCTTTCATTTTAACAACAATTTACCTCAGCTAGCCTAAGCTCATCTCTTTCATTTTGGTGTTGGTTAAATTCAATTTGCCTAGCCTGGTTTCTTTAATTTCAAGCGAAGCCTTATAATTTTCTTATTTAATTATCAGACATAACTAAGTGTGTGTAAAAATGATGCTTAATAAAACAGAGTATAATATAATAATCTAATTATACTTTAACTGTACTATTAGTCATATTTAAATTTGATGTTTTAAAATACAATAGCAATGTGTAAAGATAACATGTTTCTACCAAGAACTTAATCTAAAGTTATAAATAAATTGATGTAATCTTTATAACTGAGTAATGTTATGTAGTTATTAATAATTATTGGCAAAATATTATTAATATTTGATCAAAAAAAGAATAAAAAGTGATTAACAAAAGTAATGCTGATGTGATGTAATAATTTTATCATCATCATGATCATCATCATGATGATGATAAAACTGTCATCATTGTTTTCATTATCATTTTTAAAGTGTCTTTAATAACATTTAAAAGTAAAAGTAAAATATAAAAAAATGAAAAAAAAATCTTTTTTTTAAGATTCGCCCAGCTCCATACGATGCAAACAATCAGAAACTTGATTTTTCATCAGCACCCAAAATGGATGAATCACAAAAAGACCCATACAAGGAAATACCACTTACTCCACCACAAAAACCTGAAAAACCCCATATAAAACATTCTGTAGCACAGGTAAATTTATTTTATATAGTTTTCCATACTTTTTATTGCATACTTTGTATTATATTTATACTATTTGTATAAATACTCAAGAAAAATTTTTTTTACTAATTTATTATTGCTTTAGTATTATTTTTGGTTGTTGTTTTTCTTGTTTAATTTCTGTTCATGAACATTGAGTACTCTTTTTGAAGAATAAACTAACACAGTGTATACATGTGTGCATGTATACTTATGTATGCATTTATACATGCACACATACTTGAGGTTAAAAGAAATCAATGTAACTTAATAAGAGTTTACCTTGATCAGTTTTCACTTTTTTTTTTTTTTCCCAGATCAAATATTATAATAAATATAATTATTTAAATAGTTTGTTAAATTTAATTATAAATTATTGTTGATTAATATTAAATAATTGTTGATTTGAGTTGTTTAGATGCAACATTATCAAAACCATCAAAATAAATCATCAGAAGAAAATCATCACTATTCATTTTCAATTGATCTTCGAAGTTTATCAAATGATTCATATCAATTTCCATTGAATGTAGTATGCAGGTTAATTCTTTTAAATATATATGTGTTTATGACAATTTTAATATATATATAATTCTAAACCTGTATGGTTTAGACAGGTTTCCATAATGCCATTATCTATTTTAAGTATGACTTATGAAAGAGTTGAAGCAATTTAGAGATTATTAACTAGATTTTTTTCCTGCTGATACCTGGTTACTTGTTTTCTAAATGATACTACCACTTTACTATACATATATATATATATATATATATATATATATATATATATATATATATATATATATATATATATATATATATATATATATATATATATATATAATGTTTTTATTTTTTAAGTATAATAATATAAATAAAAACATAAGTATAATATAAATAAAAACATTAATATTTTTATGTTTAATTTTTATTGTTTGGGAACTTACAAAGAGGTAGAACATGCGACCATGGTCAACCAGGTACTCAAAAGAATCAAAACTATATAAAAATTAAAAATAATAGGTGTAAAATATGCAAAAACATATTAAAATTAAAAATAATATCAAAAACTAGTAAAAATGCACCTTTTTAAAAAAACAATATTTTTTGTGCAACTATGTACACTGTCAACCAAAACATGAGCAACAAAATAAAAAATTCTAATTTTTCAAGTTCAATTATTGAATGCAGCATTTTTTCTGAAAAAAAAAGGACTTTAAACAAAATCAACTTGTTAATATCACATACAAAGAGAAGTTTTATATGTAATACGACTAACAAGTTTTTTTTCTTTCAACAACTTCAACAACCTTTATTTATTATATATTTCAGCAGACCATTAATGATAGATGCAGTATTGGTCCATGACATCAAATATGACAGAGACAATGGCAGCATTACTAGTATAAAGGAAGTTATGTGTGGAGTTCTTAAATTTA